GTTTGCATTCTTTGACGCGACGGGCAGACAACTTGGGTTCTCAGAAACAGCTGCATTCACTCTCACTGCCAAGGCGACAGAGACCAGCCAAGTTCAGAGGAGGTACGAGGAGGAGATCATGGAGTTTGGGAGCACGTCGCGGTCCATTTTTTTCACCTTCATATCCACACTTGCACTGTTGAACCTGCTGAGTTTTGCGACAAAACTCGCGTTTTCCCTGCAGTTCCTCCCACAGGTGGCTCTCAGCGGGGTGATAGTAATGGTGAATCTGCCTGTTTATGACGCGCTCTTTCGCCGGAAAGATAGTGGAAGCTTGTCGTCGTCTGTTCTGATTAGGTCCATGCTTGCACTGCCCCTGCTCTATCTATTGCCTATCTTCTAATAGCTGCCTGAAAATTTCACTCAAAATAACCAGCATGGAAGTGATGGCATGGAACCTGTACTAGACTTGTGTGTAAATTATATGTTACACACATAAATACAGTGAGATTTATGCAATCTTTTTATGTTACACACATAAATACAGTGAGATTTATGCAATCTTTTTGACCATTTGCTCATTGTTATCCACTTATCCCTCTACTAAGTAGTGCTCATCTCTTTTGTGTTTAGAAGTGACAATGACTTGGGTTTGGATTGGATGTAGCTTCAAACTCATCTAATCATTCAATCTTCATCCGTCATCCGACTCATCCATCATATGTTACATATGTCATCCATCACCTGATTCATCCGTCATCTGCAGGTGATACGGATGTATAGCGAATCAAATTAATAACTCTTTTTTGTTTAAAAAAAACTCTTTTACTATAAATAACATTTCGTTAGATCATCATACTAAGTTCACTTGACATTGCCCGGCAATGTCATGGGATGACCTGGGAGGGCTCCAGTGCCCTGTTCATAAAGTTGCCGGTTCCTACCCCCCTAACCCCATGTAAATCCCTCCACCCTGCCCCAACCCGAACACCCCCCCCACCCCCTTCAATTGCACCCCACAACCTGCTCTAATTCCAATCCGGTTTTCTGCGTAGATTGAAACTTATGAACGAGGTGTTGTTTAAAAATGAGTACTAAGTTATTTGGGAATGAGCACCCGATCCTAAACATCTTTTTTATTTTGATTTTTTAGTCAAATAGTAACACTCTTTGACTAGAAATTAAATATAATCTAAAGAAATAAACGATATAAAAATTTGATATATGAAAACTATATTTTAAGATGACTCCAATTATATTGAATTTATATTATAATTAAATATACTTTTATCGCAATTTATGGTAAAAAAGCGTCACTGTTTGACAACAAAATCAAAATAGGAAATGTTTTTTGGACCGGATGAAGTACTTTTGTTTCAGAATGAACATTACATTATTTGTAAATAAATATTATAATTGTATTGAACAAATTTATGAAAATAAACAGTACATTATTTTAGAATGAGTTTTACATTATATTATTTTAGAATAGCTACTAGGTTACTTCAAAATGAATATTTATATTTTGTACGAGAGGAAATGTTAGTTCATTTCAGAATAAGTATTACACGGCTGTACTGGATGGACGAAGTAGTAACATCCACTTTGCAATTCACAATCTTTTTTTCCAAATAAATTTGCATTTTTTTTCTTTTCTAAGAATTCCGTCCTACTGCTTGGGTTTGCAATATTTGTCGAATTCAAATTTTTCTATCGCAATCAAAAAAATTTGATTATCTATTAAATAAATCTCAAATTGCGTATTATTACAATAAAATAAAATCATGTAAGTTTGATATATAAACTAATGAAATCCTTTTTAGTTTTTATGTTTGTATGCGTTATAACTCTAAAAATTTATGTTATGATATTATTTATACATTCTTCCATTAATATTTTTTATGCTCTATGGTTTGTATCCATATTTGACCCGGAATGGTGTAGAAAGATACAAGAAGGAAATATAAAAGAACTATTCTTTTTGCCTGTTATAGATCTTCTCAAATAAATTATTTTTTTAAAAGAGACTAAAAAAGATAAAAATTTACTAAAATACTCGTAATAAGTTTTCTACCTTTTTCCTACTCCGTATTTCTTAGATAGAAAATTGTCATGTTTTACTATGTTACTGAATACTTCCTTGGTTTCGAAATAATTGTCTCACTTCGAATATCGTGTAAAATTCATCTCTTCGAAAAAAGACTATGTTTGCACTTTGCACGTGAAAAAAACGTGTTAGAATATCAAAAAAAAAATTAGCCACAATCGCAAGCTTCATCTTTTGGTGATTGGTTACTTGACATATATTCTGTATTTTTATACTCCCTCCGTTAGCAAAAAAGGTTCCTACTTTGACTTGGAGCCAAAATAAGAAAGTGTAAAATTATAATTGACTTCCAATTTTGCCCCTGATGTGATGAGTAAAAATAAGATGTGAGGGATAGGTTATTAGAGAAAAAGTATGATGTGATAGGTAGGGTATAAAAAAGTAAGGGTAAAAATGGTTTTTTAATAGAAAGTGTAATTGTTTTGTTGGAAGTGAAAAAAATAAAAGAGAACGTATTTTTATGAACGGATAGAGTATTTAAATAGAAATATTAATGATAAAAAACATTAAATTAAAGATCGTGAAAAAGTAAACGGAAGAAAAATAAGAAAAATACTACGCGTTCAGGGACTGAGGGAGCATGAGTATAACTTAGGCTACATTCCATTCAACTACGGAGTATTTTTTTCAGCTTATTACGTACTCCATCCGTCCTAAAATTAATTTCCCAGTTTGAATTTTGCAGTCAAACTTTTTAAACTTTGACCGTATATTACAAAAAAAAATATTAAATTTTCATATAAATTTATTATCAATAGATTCGTTTTGAAATATGTTATTTTTGTAATACATATTCACATAAAAATGGAGATATTAATGATCAAAGTGTCGCATTGAAGACTGTAGAAAATCAAATGAAAAGTTAATTTTAGAATGGAAAGAGTATTATTGAACTAAAAATAGATCAGACTAGAAGAGTTCAAAAACAATTTTAAATTATCTACAATCAAAGTAAAGCAGGCCAGGACCAATTTTTTATAAAAACAAATCAAATCAAGCAAAAAGATCACAACCTGATCAATATTATTAGAAAACTCCAAACATGAGAATGTTGATGTGGGAATGAATATGATTGATAACGAAAATGGGGAGAAAGTCTCTAAAAATAATTTACTAATTGTATCCAAACTTTGAACGTCATTTTGATCATTTATACTGATGGGAAATAATATGTGTCTCGATCCACATTTCTCAATTATTTTTGAAGATTACTCAAACTGGATCTGTTTAGTAAAATGGAGTAACAAGTAGAACTTTACTCAAGTAGTTCTACATTCTCTACTTTTAAAGACTCACAAGAGGAACAAGTAGAACTTTGGTCAAAGAAAGAATCTTCATTCATTGCCTTAATTTTATTTTTGAGGTCAAAATTATCATTTTCCAAAAATTTATTTTCCTCTTCCAAAGCATGAATTTTTGCCTTAGCCTCTTTGGCAATTTTTGAAGATTTCTTTAATTCACCAAATAATTCTTGAAAGGCTTCTTGTAATTCTTCNAAAGACTCACAAGAGGAACAAGTAGAACTTTGGTCAAAGAAAGAATCTTCATTCATTGCCTTAATTTTATTTTTGAGGTCAAAATTATCATTTTCCAAAAATTTATTTTCCTCTTCCAAAGCATGAATTTTTGCCTTAGCCTCTTTGGCAATTTTTGAAGATTTCTTTAATTCACCAAATAATTCTTGAAAGGCTTCTTGTAATTCTTCAAATGAGAAAGAGTTAGAAGCGCTTACCTCTCGATTTCGTTCATGAGCCATAAGACACAAGGTGACAGTTTCGTTACTAGAACTTTCCGAATCCCATGCCACGTATGCTCGTTCCTTCTTTTTCTTTTCCTTGCGGTTTGGGCAATATGGCTTTATGTGGCCAAGTTCTCCACAACCAAAACACGTTGGAACAGGTTCCCCCTTTCTTTTACAATCTCGGGACCCAAGTTCTTCCTTCAAAAACTCTTGGAACTTCTCGAGCAAGTTATAAGAAGGATTATGATCATCGCTATCGGAGTCACTTACCTCTACCCTTTTTGAGGATGAGGCTTTGAGAGCGAGACCGGGACTCTTGTCAAGAGAAGGTTTAAGAATAGTCGATTCATAAGTTTTAAGATTACCTCGAAGACCATCGATGGTGACATTGGTGTTACTAATCGACTCATATATGGCATCGGCTTTTGAACGCCATTCCGGTGTTAGGCTCCGAAGCATTTTTCGAACAAGATCTTTGTTCGAGTATGTTTTACCAAGGACATGGAGATCGTTGATGATCTTTAAAAATCGGTCGAACATTTGATCAACGCTTTCAATTTCCTTCATTTTAAACAACTCATATACATGGGTTAGAAAATCAATTTTAGCTTCACGGACTTGAGGCGTACCTTCGTATGTCACTTCAAGCTTATCCCACATTTCTTTTGCGGTGGAGCAAGAAGAAATTTTCCGGTAGTCATCCGGATTAATTGCACAAAAAATCATTAGCTTTTTCAAAAGCTTCTACCTTCTTGATGTCTTCAGCATCATATTCTTCCTCCTTCTTTGGGATGGTGGTTTCACCAACCTTTTTCATTGGCATCGTCTCACCGTTTTTTATGATTATCCATAGTTGGAAGTTGATTGACCGAATGTAAATCCTCATTCGTTCCTTCCAATAGGTGTAGTTTGTTCCATCGAAGAGTGGAGGTCTAACGGTGGAGTGTCCTTCACTTAATCCTGCATACGACATTCTCAACAAGAAAATATAGATCGTTCTCTCAACCGGTTAAGGCTTGTAGAGAGTTAGGCTCTGATACCAATTGTTAGAATAAGTGCCCTTCACTAGAGGGTGGGTGAATAGTGAGGCACGAGAATGTTTATAAATTTTCGCGGAATAAAAATCGCAGGGATAAAGTAAAGAGCGGAATAAAAAGGAGTAAAGGGAGCACACCAAGATTTACCCTGGTTCACCACAACTTGTGGCTAATCCAGCCTCCCGAGAGACTCTCTCGAGCTACACTACTTCCGTTAAGCTTACGGGTGCTTAACAAACCGTTACAACCTGAGAACTCGAGTCCCACGAGCCTCAATACACTTGCTCGGAGATACCGCACTCCAAGACTTCAACCCGAAGGAAAATACCTTTCCTTCGTACAACCAAGGGAAACAAGCTTCCCTAAACGTGTTTACAACACTAAGAACACTCAAGAACAAGACTCTCTTTAAGAGTAGATGTTGAGTAAACTATATACGCTCAAGAACAACTCAAACTTCACAAATTGGCTCTAGAAAGCTATGAAAAATAATGTTGTTTGGATGCAATGATAATATGAATAAAGTGAAGTGAATTGATTATAAAAGCAGACCCAAACACCCCTTTTTATAGTGCCAAAATAGGCTCCAACGGACCAATGCATTAAAGGGGTGATTGGCTTGATTTATGGGATTGAATAAATTTGGGATCTGCAGGATATTGGCTTCCCATCGATGTTTGGAATTTACCCATCGCTGGTAAGCCAATTTTCCTTCAGTTTTGAAGCCAACGGTTACCTACCCATCGATGGGTAAATGCTTCCCATCGCTGGGTGGGAGGTTGACTTTCAAATAAGGAAAGAATGAGCCTTAAATGACTCCCAACGGTCATGCCTTCCCATCGATGGTTAAGCCTTCCCATCGCTGGGTTCCCATCGATGGGTAAAGCTTCGTAAGTTGAAAACCACGTCGTTAAGGTAAAAACCATGGTTGACCAAGTCAACACCGTACACGGGTGGTTTTCACCAAAAGACAAAAGCGGAAGGTGGTTTTCATGATGTTTTGATTGGAGAACCATTTAAATGCATTCAAAAACAATTCCCACAAAAAAGACTCGAAAACCACTTCATTTAAGTGAAAACCACGGCTAGCCAAGTTTATGCCGTTTCGCGTGGTTTTTATCAAACGACAAACAACGAAAGGTGGTTTTTGAAGTGTTTTTGATGGAAAACTATTTAAATGGGCCCAGAAGTAAAAACCAATCATAAAAAGTTGAAAACCACTTGGTTAGTTCGGACGCCAAAAACTAACGCCGAAAACCGAATGCCGAACGCCGGTTTCTGAAACCCGAACGCCGGATGGCTTGATTTTTAGTTTGGGCGAACACCAAGTGTGTTTAATGTTTTAAACATGTTTGAAAAACATTTTTATGATGTGTGAAATGCAATGAAAAGAATTTTAGCCTAAAGAGCCAAGGTGTAAAGGTTGGGTCGGTCTTGATCACAATTATGACCGACTCAACAACACTAAGACTACGGTCTTCGTTCTTGGTCTTCTTTTGGGTCTTGTTATCTTGCTTTCTTTTTATATTTATTTCCCGCCTTGTATATTCAACGTTCGACTTGATCACGGCGGTTTGGCATTATCAAAACCTGTTACAAAAACGAACACGGCTTTAGTACGAAAATGTGATAAACCCGTGTTTCAACAGGAATGTCCCTCATCGCAGCCTCTAAACTTCGAGCTATCATTGTCACTTTAAAATTATTTTATTTAGAAATTAGTAAATAAATAAAAAATACAAATTATATATTTCAAAACTATGTAAAAAATGATATAAAAAGATATAACAGAAATATTTTATTTGACTAAATAATCAATAAAAAAATAAAAATAAATAAAAGTTATTAGTAGCCAAAATAATAATTGAGACGATTATTAATTCTAGGACGGATGGAATATAACATAATAATAAACACTTGTTTTTTCTAAAATTTCAACCAAATACTAAGAAATACTGAGTACATAATTTAATTTTTTTCTAAAACTCACTTTTTTAAATTCATTTATTCCAAAAAAAATCATTTTTCATCCTTAGAAAAGGAGCTAAACCCAAATAACTCCATTTTCATGTTTTTTAATAAAATAGATCCATTTTCTATTAATTTTTTTTTATAATTATGACATCATGTTTTACTAATAATCTACTCCCAACATCTTAATTTTACCCATCAATTCAGAGATAAAATTGGAAAATCAATTCTGAATAACTCTTCTTTATTTTTATCTAAAATCAACATTGGATGTATCTTCATGAATGGAGAGGGTACAACTTTGTGAAATTTATACTAAATAGTATTAAAACATATGTCACTTCTCAGTGTAATAATTCAACTTTTTTTATTTCTTAAATAATACTTGAATAATGTCTAGTGGACATTTAATTTGAACAATGTCTCGTGACGGTGGACATTTACTTGAACAATGACCAATGGACAATGATCAGTGGTACTATATTGGGAAATAAGAATATATAGTACTACATTGAGAAACTCACCATATTTTAGAACTCCCTCATTCCCAGAAAGAGAGGAACATATTGACTAGAGTGATAAAATAAGAGAGGGATAATTTTGTATTGACCTTCCAAAAATATACCTTTGATGTGACGGGTAAAAATATGATGTGATGTGTAGATTATTGAGAAAATTAAAGTGCACTGTTTACTCCCAAACTCTTTGAAAACTACACGGTTATCCCTGAACATAAAAAATGCACGAAATACCCATGAATTTTTCAGAAATTACACGATTTACCTTTGAACATAAAAAAGTGCACCAAATACCCTCGAACTCTTCAGAAATTGCACGATTTACCCCTAAACATTTAAATAAAGATGAGACGATAATTTGGGAGAAGAGTACTTTGGAGAATTCACAAGGGCCAGATGAATCACACTCGTAATTCCCTTCCGTGGGAGCAACACTCTCCCTACCTAGCATTTTAGGATCAATGATGCAATATTTTAAATTGTTCAAGGGTACTTATTAGTGCACTTTTTAGTGTTCAGAGGTAAATCGTGCAATTTTTGAAGAGTTCGGGATAAACAGTGTACTTTTTAATGTTCAAAAGTAAACCATGCAATTTCCAAAAAGTTCGGGGGTAAAAGGTGCACTTTTCTCGCAGATTATTAGTAAAAAGGTATGATGTTATAGGTAAGGTATGAAAAAGTAGAGTAATGCTAGAGTCACAAACAAATAGCTCACAAAACTCACAAACTTAACTTTTTAACATTATTATACGGAGTATAAATTAAATGCATCCAAATAATAAAAGATAATTTAATTTAAAAGTTACAAAAAACAAGTTTGTGAAATTTGTGAACTATTTGTTTGTGACTCTAGCATTTTCCGAGAAAATAAGAAATAAAAGTGAATTTTTAATAAAAATGAGAAGAAAATTGCGGGATACTATTTTTTTAAAACGTGAAGAAATTTTGAGAGGGAAGGAGTACTATCCAGCTAATTTTTCCAATAACTTTTTGAAAGGTGAGTAAGCAGCAAAGCCATCTTTAAAAAAAAGTACCGGCCTGGGTACTATAAATGGCAAACCAAAACCAAATATACTTCCTCTAATTTACTCCATGTTTCTATGCTGAGAGACATTAAAACTTGGAAGATTATTGCAGAGAGACTTTCGTATGCTGAGGCCAGGAAGGTGGCAATTCAAGTAAAAGCAATGGACGAGGGTCGTGGTAGAAAACACTACGACCCCTTGTTCGAAACCGAGACGGTGGGAGAGGGAAGAAGGCGGCTCTACCGCCTTTTTGTCTCCACCATTTTCGCCGGGACCGTCGGTGTTCTCTCCTACAGGGTGGCTCACATGCCGGGTCCCGGCGAATATGGGAGAGCGAGTTGGATTGGAGTGCTCGGGGCCGAGCTCTGGTTCGGGTTTTATTGGATTCTCACTCAGTTTCATCGTTGGAACCTCGTTTTCCGTCGCCCTTTCCCACACAAGCTCTTGAAAAGGTGCGTAGTGCATGCCCGTTAAGCGGTTTAATTAGGGCAGTGGTAATACCCCTCACGCCCACCGGCGTGATACGCTTAACGCCCCCCCCCCCCCCCCCCCC